GCATATATCCCCCATGCGATACCCCCGAAATACCCCCACATTTTGCCCGATATGTGTCTCTTGTCTGCCTACGCATCTTGATGGCTTTGGGCTACGTGTTCGGACGCTGTAATCGGATGTTTATGGCCCACAGCAACCTCATGGACTCATGGACGCTTCACGCACTTTCAATTTCGGTGGGGAGTCATTGAACGGCGATCTTTGGAATGGTCTCTTGTTTACAGAAAGTATATATATAAACCATTATGGGCTGGCGGGGTTCCTTCAAGGCGCTTAATTACTCCGATTCGAAGCGCCCAAATGAGTTGACAACTTTTTTTGGGGGTGTTTCTAAGAGAAGTATTTGGGTTTCGGGGTTCCACCTTCGTTTATTGTTAATTAAGAGCCATTTTTAAAGACCTATTCCTGTTTCATAACCTTTGATGTTGTACTTTTTGAATGACCCTTCTTTTACAATAAAAATGGGTCTGCAATTAGTAATCCGATTTGGCCATTTCCAGTCCCGTGTTTATATTCCGCCAATTCCGCAAATAATGTAAAACTGTGCCAATGCCTGAACACCAAATGGAGCAATAATATATTTTCTAAAGAGTGAAATAACAGAAAAACTGAAAATCATGCAGCCAATGAGCCAAACGCCGCTGACATACAAACTCTTCGAGTTTTAAAAGATAATGTTAGGGGGGTCTGGGGTTGCAGAGGTGCCGACAAGTCACCTATATATTTTTTTTTTGGGGGGGAGTAGGTGGCTCGAGACAACCTGACAATCCGTTGGCAGCAAATTTTTCGCTCTATTGGCGCGCGCATGTCGCCAAGAAAAACAAAATGATGGTCAAGTTCGGAAACTTTGGGGGAAAAAGAGGGTTTGGCTCCCGCAAGGTGCTGAGTTGACAATTGAAAAGTTAATTGAACGGCACTCAAATCGCAATTAATTACCAACCCATAGATGGTATAGCCATAGGCCTACAAGGAAGCCTAAACTCCGAAGTTGAACTTGACATCCAAAATGGAGCAGAAAACGAAAACGAAACTGAAATTGAAACCGAAACCGATACAGAAACCATGAAGAAAAAAAAGACAAATTACCCGAAACCGAAACCGAAACCAGTTTCGCCCGCAATTGTCAAATTGTCAACCGAGATACTTTTGTACTTGTTACCGGTTTGCTCTTCGGTTTTCTTGTATTTTTTTTGAGGGCGCCACTTCTTTCAGCTAATTCTGACGCCCCATATAAAGTGACGTGCGGCGGGAGTGGTCGACATCATTAAGTCGACGTCTTCGCAAGAGTCGGGCGGATATATAGTCGTCAGTCCCCAGCTCCATTCTCCAATCTCCATTCTTCAATCCAGAGCTTCCTGTGCGGCACGTGCCATTTCATCCCGTCCTCGAGAAATCCCATTGCAAAGGAAGTGATTCCAAAATGGCAGGCAAAGTAAGTGTAATAAAGTGGAACTTCAATTTAACAGGCTTTTCTTTTGTTAACAAAATGCTAAGCTCTCCAGGTGCTAAATTATACACATCCTTGTTAAAGAAATTTCCATTTAAAGCAGCTGGCAAATGCATTTTCTATTAAAATTTTAAATCTCTATTGACCGAAAAATGTGCAGCCCATTCAATTAAAATGTGCACGAATTTATTTCTGTTTATTTGCATAATCACATAAATAATAACAATCAAATCGGAGTTGCTTCTATTAAAAACTGGTATTAGATTTAAAACAATTTCATTTGTTTAGTGGAATAATCAATATGAAAGCGGCTTTGTTTTAAATTATATTAAATTAGAAATCCTTATGGAAGACCAGTTCAAACAAAGTGAAAGAATATTTTTCCATTTCATTCATGAGTATCAGTATTGATTTAAGGTTTTTTATGCTTTTACACACAAAGAAACTAGTGGTTTTGGACCCAAACCATAGAATTGTCAATTTTACCAATGAAATATTCACTATTTTTAGGTAGCTTTACTAATAAACAGTAAGCAAAGCAACAACAAAATGCATATAATAATATTGAATAGTTGTTAACCATTTTTTCTTGTTACCTTATATAATAGTTAAATGGTCATTAGTCAATTTTACCAATGAAATAGTTACTCTCACAATAGCAAAATACACACAACTTACTATTAAATAGTAGTTTTACTAATAAATAGTAACAAAAGATATTTTTTTTTAAATAGTTGTTAACCATTTTTTATAGTTACGTCATATAATACTGACTGACCAACCCATCGAATTGTGAATTTTAACAATGAAATAGTTACGCTCACAGCAGCAAAATACACAAAACTAAATATTTTATTGTAGGGTTACCGTTAAATAGTAACCAAAGTTGTTTACCTTCTTTTTATAGTTACTTAACTAGTCGTATTGGTAAATGTTACCCATAAAATTGTATAATGTGTAAAGAACTTACTTTTTAATTGCCCATTTGAGTGAAGGCATGCACTTATCCACCTTTATCCTTTGCAGCTCCTGACAGTCTTCTCCCTCCTGGCCATCGCTGGATCCTGCCTTGGAGGATTCGCGGCCACCTATGCGGGTTACCACCCGGCCTATGCTACCTACCAGGCTCCAGCTGCCGTCTACCATGCCTCTCCAGTGGCCCAGGCTGTCTACCACCAGGCTGCTCCTGTTTTCGCCAAGACAGTGGTGCCATCTGCTCCCGTGTACACCAGATCCTATGCCCTGCCTGCTCCAGTGGTCAGGACTGTGGCTGCTCCTCTTCCAGTGGCTGCTCCAGTGGTGAAAACTGTAGCTCCAGTCCTGAAGCAAGTGGAGTTGGAGTCCTCCCCGCGGTATGACTTCTCCTATGGCGTCCATGACAGCATCACCGGTGATATCAAGAGCCAGGTGGAGACCCGCGATGGCGGCAATGTGGTGGGATCCTACTCCGTCCTGGATGCCGATGGTTTCAAGCGCACGGTGACCTACACCGCCGATGATATTAATGGATTCAACGCGGTGGTCCACAGGGAACCAGTGGTGGCTGCCCGTGCTGTGGTGCCAGCTGTGGCTCAAGCTGTGGTCTCAGCTCCAGCTCCAGCTCCTCTGCCCGTCCATGTGTCTCCTCCAGTGGCCTCTCTGCCCGCTCCCATCTACTATCCCCACCAGCAGCAGGTGTTTGCCCCCCAGCAGCAGGTGCAACAGGTGGCCGAGCAGCAGGGTGAGGCGGTGGAGGCTCCTGTGGCCCATCAGCCGGAACTGGAACCCACGCCCATCGACTACAATGAGGGTCAGCAGCAGCAGCAGGAGCAGCAGCAGCAGGAGCAGTCCTATCCCCAGGAGCAGCAGGGACAGACCTATCCCCAGGACCAACAGTTCCCGCCCTTCTCCCCGGCTGGCCAATCCTCTCCAGCTCCCGACAGCGATGACTCCGATGTGGTGGAGGCACGATCTGCCCCTGAGTCCAACAGCAGCACCACCTCCACCACCGCAGCTCCAGTTGCGGAGGACAACCAGAAGACAGCCTAAGTTGGGGTACGACCGGAAATATTGTTGAAATGAATGCGAAAATAAATAACAAGTTTGAGTATACATAAAAAAGTCTACTGTTTTTTAATATTTATTTCACTGATAGAAAAAAGAAGTAAGTCCAAGGACTTCATATTAAAGTCAAAATAGTTTTTGCTATGTTTTTTTACTTATGAATTTTTTCTATATCTGAAAATTATTAATTTAACAACTATGGTTATTTAAAGATTTTAAAATTTGAATTTAATATTAAACTATCGTTTTTTATGACGCAAAATATTTAAAGTAAATATCGCCAACATCAAAACTAATATTTTCTACATTTGGTGTTTTGTATTTAGTTTAAATATTTAAAACGAAATTTAGAATTCAATACGAATATATTTTTTCTTACTATTCAATTTTTTTATCAGTGTTGAGAAATAAGTTAAAATAAATAAAATGCTTATTATGGGATTCCTTTGAAAAAATCCATTTAATTAAATTCCATTAAAACTTAAAAGCATAAATTCAACAAAAAAGGATTTCAAAAACAAACAATCAAATTTTATAAAAAAAAGGGGACTTTAAAGCTAAATCGATTGGGAGCAATCACCTTTAAAAAGGTGGTTTCTTTCTGTCTGCCAATACATATGTAAATAATGCAGAAATACAAGGGATTTAACCGGAAATGTGATTGCAATCATTGCATTATTATTGATAAATGAGAGATTAAATGGTATTAGTCCAAGTCCAGACAGCCTGCTTTTGAGAGAAAAAACGCACAATTAAATAACATATTTTTAGACAATTAAATAATTAATAAATAATGACTTCGGTCTCATTCAAAATTGATTTAGTTTAAGGTTTGTGCAATTATTTTAAATAAAAACGAAATTGAGAGCAAAGATTACAATAACAACCGTTTTAAAAAAATATTTTTTTTCTCTTTTGAGAAAACTTATTAAATTCTATGAGTAATTTGAATTTCCCGCTCGTTTTGCAGATTCAGCCATAGCTGAACAGCTGAATGTGGTTGCGAAACAAATAAGAGCTTAGCAACATTCAGGCGCAACATGAGGCCAGCAACATCGGTATAAATTTTAATTTTAATTTAATTTACCGCAAAATATATTACCAATCTGTGCGATTCGCTTGCACGAAATTAAATAAGTTAAGGGAAACAATTCTTATGTGTTTTTAAAAATAGGGGCTGTACAAGTATATTTTACCATCCCTTTTTAAGTACTTATCTTATTAATATCAAAGAACATCTCTTGAAAAAAACAACTTAACATTTTTCGTTGTTTTCTTAAATTTTAATTTAGTTTACAAATTCTTGTGGTTTAACACATCTACATCATTTATTTATTATTTTCTTTTTTAAAACTAACGTACTTTTGGAATCGGTTGTTTCCGATGACCGTTTGAAATAACTTTGGTATATTTAAAAATCCAAAACTGGTATTAAAAGTATTTTTCTTAAACTCGATCGGCACCTCTACGGTCACACTACTTGTTGCTTGGTTTTCAAATAAAACGGTAAATCCGACGGCGCCAAGTAAGCATTGACATCAATATCAATTTGGGCTCGATTTCGAGATTGCCTGCGTATCACCCAGCACAGTTCCATCGGCACATTCAGCGTGTTAACACGCTTGACAAATTTCCGTGCTCGTTTTTCGTTAAGAAACGATCAAAATTGTGTAAAAATTGTGAAGTGATTTTAGCCAAATAAAAAAAAGCCAGCGCACGCATTCAGAAGCCCACAAGGTAAGTGCGCGCGTGTGTGTGTATGTGTTCCGGTGTTCCTTTTGTCCTTTTCGCGGTTTCTCCTTTGCCTCGATCTTCGTTTCTTCCTTTGCCGCCTGTTACCGCTCTCCTTTTCATCTCCTCCACACACTTCCCGCGAATCTGCAAATGGCGGCGGCTGCTGCAGCTGTTGCTTTGTTGTTGCCAGGCAAGGGCGTAGTTGGAATTTCGCAAGGGGGTCGGCGGCTCCCCTTATCCCCAAAAAAGTCAGGAATTTTGTGTTAAACAAATTACCTAATTTTTATAAAACTAGATTTTCTTAGTACAATACTCTTCCTAAACCCTCGCTAAAATCCTACCTACGCCCCTGTTGCTCGCCCTTGCAAAAGCCGGTCTGCCGAAAGGGACAGGAAAAGAAAAGAAACGAGAAAGAGGGGAAAGAAAACCCAAACCCAAGCAGCCCTTGACTGCTTCTTCTTACGTCTACTTCAATTTCGCACATCATTTTCCATTTTAGTTCAACGTTTGTCATCGCAGCAGCAACACCTAAAATTTAAAGCCCAAAAAAAAAAAAAAACAGCCAACAAAATGAGCAAGGCGGATTCGAACTCGCGACAGGGCTCCTACAAGTCCAACACCATCAACACGCAGGTAATACACCCAAAATTCGCGATCCCTCGTTCGGAGCTAACCTCACTTTGCCGTAGGACTCGCGCATGCGCCGCCATGAGGTGACCATCGAGCTGCGCAAGTCCAAAAAGGAGGACCAGATGTTCAAGCGGCGCAACATCAACGACGAAGACCTCACCTCGCCGCTCAAGGAGCTCAATGGCCAGTCGCCGGTGCAGCTGTCCGTGGACGAGATTGTGGCGGCCATGAACAGCGAGGATCAGGAGCGCCAGTTCCTGGGCATGCAGTCGGCTCGCAAGATGCTCAGTCGTGAGCGCAATCCTCCCATTGACCTGATGATCGGCCATGGCATTGTGCCCATTTGCATACGCTTCCTGCAGAACACCACCAAGTGAGTAGCAGCTATAGAAAGTCCTTATAGGCGGTACTGAATCCTGTGAATTCCCAGCTCCATGCTGCAGTTTGAGGCCGCCTGGGCCCTGACCAACATCGCCTCCGGCACCTCTGACCAGACGCGCTGCGTCATCGAACACAATGCAGTGCCGCACTTCGTGGCCCTGCTCCAGTCCAAGTCCACCAATCTGGCCGAGCAGGCCGTCTGGGCTTTGGGCAACATTGCTGGAGATGGAGCCGCCGCCCGCGACATTGTCATCCACCACAATGTGATCGACGGCATCCTGCCGCTGATCAACAACGAGACACCGCTCTCCTTTCTGCGCAACATCGTCTGGCTGATGTCCAATCTGTGCAGGAACAAGAATCCTTCGCCGCCCTTCGAGCAGGTGAAGCGATTGCTGCCCGTCCTGTCGCAGCTCCTGCTCAGCCAGGACATCCAGGTGCTGGCCGACGCCTGCTGGGCCTTATCCTACGTCACGGACGATGACAACAGCAAGATCCAGGCGGTGGTTGACTCTGATGCAGTGCCACGTCTGGTCAAGCTGCTGCAAATGGACGAGCCGAGCATCATTGTGCCCGCCCTGCGCAGCGTTGGCAACATAGTGACCGGAACAGATCAACAGGTTGGTGATGTACAACAATATTGACCACCATTTTAGAATTTTACTTTTTTGTTTGGATCAGACGGCATAGTACAATTTAATCTTATCCTTATTATTTACTCCTCAGACTGACGTGGTAATTGCCTCTGGAGGACTGCCCAGATTAGGACTTCTCCTACAGCACAACAAAAGCAACATTGTCAAGGAGGCTGCCTGGACGGTCAGCAACATCACGGCAGGTAACCAAAAGCAGATCCAAGCCGTCATTCAGGCCGGCATCTTCCAGCAGCTGCGCAACGTGCTGGAGAAGGGCGACTTCAAGGCCCAGAAGGAGGCTGCCTGGGCAGTGACCAACACCACGACGTCGGGCACTCCCGAACAGATCGTGGATCTTATCGAAAAGTACAAAATCCTAAAGCCATTTATCGATCTGCTGGACGCCAAGGATCCGCGTACCATCAAGGTGGTGCAGACGGGCCTGTCCAATCTGTTCGCTTTGGCCGAGAAACTTGGCGGCACCGAAAACCTCTGCCTAATGGTCGAGGAGATGGGCGGCCTGGACAAGCTGGAAACTCTGCAGCAGCACGAGAACGAAGAGGTCTACAAGAAGGCGTACGCCATCATCGACACCTACTTCAGCAACGCCGACGACGAGGCCGAGCAAGAGCTGGCACCGCAGGAGGTCAACGGAGCCCTGGAGTTCAATGCCACCCAGCCCAAAGCTCCCGAGGGTGGCTACACGTTCTAGACTAATCACTCTCCACAAATCCAAACGCCGCTCACACGCCTTACACACTTACAAACTACATCCTCGTTTCGTTCTACCTTCGACCGCGCTCACACGTTTTTTTTTTGTTTGCCACAAGCTATGCCATTGTCAAACACATCCATCACACACGAACATTCCCGAACACTTGGAGGCATGCATGCAAAAGACAGGCTTAGAAAATACTCAAGACACTTTGGATCACAATTGCAATGGGTCAGCAAGAACACCCAAAGCTCACTCGCAAGATTCCCTTTCAACATTCCCACCATGAAGTTTCGAGTTCGTGACTAAGTTCCGGCGTTGCTTAGCAGCACGGATTTCTGGTGCACTCTTTTTCGTTCCGGATGCAACTCTCGGGCAGCTGTGCTGGCTGGGATCGTGGCATATGCCCAGAATCCGTCTGCAGAGGGCGCAAGTCTGTATGCGTGTGCTTGGCATTTTATTTGGAAACGTTTCGAGCTCCTTTCGGATATATATTTTAGGCTGTTTAGTATTTATTTATGTATACATGAAATGCTTTTAATCCTCCACCTTCGCGCAAGCATTACAACATCAACTACTCACACCCCTCACACTGTGTCCTCATCCCCGAATCGCAAGATTATATTCAATAAATAATGAATTGTTTGAATGATAAATTGTATATCAAGCTTCTTATTTTTGATCTTTAAATGAAAAGGTTAAAAATATTTACTTTGCTTATCTGTAGATTATTGTAAATTAAATTGGTGATGGAAGCAGTTCCATGTATGAATATTTGATTTTTGATAAATTGCCTTTGATTAATTAGTAATAAATTTTTAAGAACTTTCTAAAAATCCTATAAGAATTAGTATGGTACCCCAAGAACTATAGCATACTTTTGGACATTCATCTTTTCCTATACAACGATTCTTTTAAAGTTCTAGTGATATGGCGGTGAAATGAAAATATATTTAAATGAAATACTGCGAGAAACACAATCGATTGGTAATGTTATCCCTGTTGGCTTGCGCCTTTTGTCAGTAAACTCTTGATAAAAAGTTGTGCAGTCAATACACGTTTTTTAAATCGCCTTCTGGCAGTAAGCGGATCACCGAAAGATTAAGAGTTATCTTCTGCAGTCACACTCTTTTATGCAGAAGAGCCCGCAGCTTCGTTCAGCGACCCCACAAGTTTCAGATTAGATAAAATGATTAAACAACCACTACTGGCAACGATCCCCACGAACAACTCAATCAAAATGAGTCGCAGGGGAACTAGCATCCGCGTTTATTGCAGCGGTCCAGGGAAAAAACAAAACAAGTAGAGCGTCGTCACAACCAAATCAACATCCACATCTGTATCCATCGGATGCAGCGCCAGTTCGCCGAATCGTCTGTGTAAATCAACGGCAAACAAATTATAAAAATAGATTAAGATTTTAGCATCGGAAAAGTAGTTGCCGAAAATTCGGACCGAGTTGTGGAAGCTTTCTGCCTCCGATTTGCCCAAGTGTCGTCACCGATAAGGCGGGCGTATTTAATTGGTTCTTTTTTGTGCTATTTTATTATTTCCGAGCGCTAGCGTTTAGTCGAATTTTGTCCGAAGCTGCGTGCGGGCGTGAATCTCTAAAGGCAACTTATATAATTTCTTATAGACCGATCCATATATCGTCGTTCGAATTTCTTAAGAATTAGGAAAAAGGTAAACAAGTATAGAAAGTGATTCGTCAAGTTATAGATACAAGTAGTATCTAGATATAGTACTACTGAAAGATACACCCAACCATCACCGCATATTTCCCGAAATTTTCCCAATAAACTATTGCTGTTGATGATGCCACTTGGAAAACGATTCTGTGACCTCATACGCCTTATTGAAAATCCAGTACGGATACCATATGGCTGCAATGTAACGTTTAAAAATACAAGACAAAACATAAAAAAAAACTAAAACACTTTTGACAAACTCTTATTGTAGTTAATTTCGTTCGGATAAAACAAAAAATTGGCACACCAAAAATAAACAATAAACATCTAGCACTAGAGCAGCGCTACTTTATAGCGATAGAAGTGGGGTGGTATACACATAAAAAAAAAATTGGTTCTAACAAATATCATATAAATCTAAACAATTATCTGAAAAAAATTTTTAAGTTTTTTAAAAAGGATTTTATTTTACGAATACATCTTGCATTTTTTCTTAGAGCACACCCTGATGACAAAAATTATTAATTCTAACTGAACATCATAGAAAAAACAAAATTATTCAATATGAAATATATACTGGTCAACTTTATGTGAATGAAAATATATATTTTTTAAATGTTATGTTGTGGATATGTTTTTTCATACACTTCTTTAATTTTTTTTCGAGCACACCCTATTGTCAAAAATTGTTAGTTCTACCATATCATAACTAAAAAAGTCAATAGAAAATAATATATCAGTTTTGAAAAAAGTATGGTTCTTTAAAAATGTGTTGAAGTAAGCGTCTTGTTATTTCAGATACTTACTTTTTGTGTTTTTAAGAGCTTCTTACATATTTTTCCAGCACCCCCTAATGACAAAAACTATTGTATTTTTAAAGATTTGGTTCATCGCACTTAAAAATTTTGGATTTCTGTGTAGGCAGCGTCGTTCTCGCGATTTGGAAGCGGAAAACGGTTTTTCGTCGCGTTCCCTTTTTTATTTTCCAGTTCGGGTGGGTTGGCATTTTGTTTGTTGATGTGGCAATTAAGCGCGCAAGTGTGCGCGTCGCATAGAAATCGGCATGCAGAGCTGCAGCCCCGGATCGGGAAACTATATAGCGAGTGGGAGGTGGGTATTAAAGGGGGGGTTAGTGGGCGATTGCGAGTGGGTGGTGGCCGCAACACAACGGAGGCGCCTGCCGAAATTCGCGTGAAATTAAAAGTTGCCGCAAATATATAGCCGCAGTACTGTCACAAAGTTTTCCGCCTCGGCGTTTCCGCTTTGTTTACTTGCCGAAAATAGTGTCAAGTTTGGCCTAGTGTGCTCTCTTGTTCACTTTATTTATTCAAGGCGTTTCTTTTGTGTTCGGTTTTTGCTTTTTTCGAGTGTGCTCGTTCGGGCCTGGCCAAATGAAATGGAAGACAATTTACATTTTCGTTACAAAATGCACTTCGAGGGCCAAGGTGAATTTAAATAGAATTCAATGTGTATGGTGGCTATTGTTTAAAATTATTTTTTTGATTTATTTAAAGCTTTTTATTGCATTAATACCGAATATTAGCCAAGTTTACAGACGTCCGCACATGTGTTTTGCATTAGGCCGAAGGGCATCTTTATGCTAAACAATTATTTTTGATGAATGAATATCAACCATGTGGAAGCGATAAATTCACGCCTTTATTATAATCTAAATCTGCATTAAAACACAGGCCAATGCTTCTTAGAAATTACAGATTTTATTAAAAAGAAATGTTCTTGGTAATTAAAGATAAATATTTTGGTGTATGGTGTATGCAACCCCTTTCAGTTAAAAGATAATACAGAATATATCTTAAAACTTTTCTTCATTCTTCTTCAAAGTTATCCATTTGTATAAAAACACAGGTCGAGGTTTCTTAGAACTAAAAGATTAAATTTAAAAAACCAAATGTTCTTCAGAATTAAAGATGATTAATATAGGTTTATGTTGAAATCTCTATCAGAGTATTGATATAAAACCGAATATATCATAAATCTTTTTATAGTTAGAAAAGTTTACTAACCAAATACCAATTACAAATATCTTAATCTTCATAAAAACCCTGTGTTTTTCGTTTCCTAGAAATTAAATATATATTTTTTAAGAATTTCTATTTCTTGGAAGTTAAAGATAAATATTATGGTGTATATTGAAACTTCTATCGGAGTTTAAAGTTCAAGCCGAATATATATGTAAATACTTTTCAAAAATATTTTATAGCTTAATTTAATGGGAAATAATTTCTTTAAGGATTTTTTAATATCCATCCAAAAGATCATTATTCAGATTTTAATCTCATTTTTAGATATATTTAGATTTTAGATATTTAACTTAAGTTTTTCTATATTTTAAAGATTTTTACTGAAGTAACACTGGACGCACAACGGCAAAATGAGTGAAGTTCCCAATCCCACGCTGTGCACCGCGGCCTATGAATCCTCCATAACTTCCGGAATCTACCACAACATAGCTACGAACTATGCAGATCAAAATGTGGCAGTATCACCACTTCTACTGGAAGCCACTCTATCCCTTCTCTTCCTGGGATCGGATGGAACCACTGCCGAGGAGCTGCAGAAGCTGTTGCGACTGAAGCAACGCTTCCCCAGCAATGCCAAGATGGCCAACTTCTATGCGGCGGAACTGGCTAATATCACAGGGGATGCCGATACCCGCCTGAAGTTACAGAACCGCCTGATGCTCCAGCCAGTTTCGGGATCTGAAAATGGTATTGCCGATGATTTCCAGAAGATATCCCAAACCTATTTCCATGCCACCGCCGAGTGTGTGGACCTGGGCCAAACGGAGAAGCTGCGTCGCCACATCAACGAACAGATCCTGGCCAGCGTCGGTGGAGGCAGCTGGCAGGAGATCCATGTAGAAGCCACTCCCACTGCCAAAACCCTTCTCCTGCTGGCGGCAAATCTTCAGAGCAAGTGGTTCCTGCCCTTCAGTGCCTACAGAACCGGACTCTATGAGTTCCACAGCGGCAGCCAGGTGAAATCCGTGCCCATGCTCTTCGACGACGATATGTTTGTGAAGTTCGCTGAACTAAGGGATCTGGATGCCCGGGCCATAGAGTTGCCCTACGAACACGCCGAGGAGCTGTCCATGCTGCTCATCCTGCCCAACCAGCGCAACGGCCTCCAGGATCTGGAGCAGCAGCTGCGCGACCTGGATTTGGGTGCACTGCAGCAGCGCATGCAGATGGAGGGCGTCCAGGTGCTGCTGCCCAAATTCAGCATCGATTTCGAGTGCAGTCTGCGGCAGCCCCTGAAACAGGTCAGTGATATACATAGATTTTCACTGGTTTTATTTACAAATATGTTAACCAACAGCTCGGCTTTGAGGAGATATTTGCGGCCTCGGCGAACTTTAAACATTTGCATCCATCTGGCAGTCTGCCCGTGGTCGATGTTCTCCAAAAGCTGCGTATTAACTTGAACGAGTCTGGTTCTGGCCAAGAATTGCCTCGTATAGCAGCAGGTATTTTGTTTTATTATAATATTAAAAAAATAATATATAACACATTTGGAACCTATTTCAGATTATAAACCCATTGTGATCAGCAATTCCTCTCGACAGAAGTTCTTCCGAGCCGACCATCCATTTTTCTTTGCCATTCGCAGTGAGAAGATGACCTATCTAATGGGTCATGTGGTTGAATTTTAATGCTCAATTGGAATTTTAGAAATGTGTAGGGGTTGTGCAATATAAGTTAAATAAAACTAATACTTACTAAACTCATAAACAATATGCTGCCGAAGATAAGATATGTTTTTTCAGTGTTTGGCATTGTTAACTGGATTTGTTCTCCGAATTAGGAACATGTTTTATGTAAATGGATTGGACAGATGGTGCTCGTACTTTCGTTTATACTTTTTTAGATAAATAGCAAAAATGCGACAGCTGGAGGATACATTTATGTAAACACTAATTTAGGACAGATTAAAGGTAAACAGCCAAAACTAAAACATCTTGTTAGGAGCTTTAGTATGTGAAAGATAAATGTTTGACAAGGTTCCATTTATTTATGAGTTATCTAATTTATTCGTTATTATCACAGACTTACCTCTTTTTGGATGCATATAAGTATTTTCTATACACCTTGAATTCCAAAAGAATTAAACCAGAAATAAAACACCTTCGATTTCATAGATTTTCTAACAAGAGTCTTGAGTTTATTTAAAGATATATCTGTATAATTTGTTTTGTTCCAGAAATAGTCCTGTTATGTTTATTAGTTTTACAATTATTGTATTTTGTAGGTTTTTTATCCTTGTCTCTTAACTTGGGGGCTTAATTTTGCTTTAATTCTAGGAAACTTTAAATGGAATCAAAAACATGTTCACACCCTAATGTGTTCTCGCTCTTCAATTTTTCGTTTTCATTGTGTTCTGTTCAATAGGCTTTTTGTAAATCTAGCTAAAAAGTTATCATTAGTTTAAATTCTTTCAATTTGTTTTACATATGCAATGACGTAAATATTAATTTTTATGCTAAATATGAGACTAGGTATGATTGATGTCCGAAAATCACTTTAAAAGACATTAACTTTGAACATTTCATGGGTTGACAATGGAAACTAAGACTGGATGGGCTCATTTGATAAAGTTTTTTGGGAAATAACCAGGTCTTCAACCGATTGTTATCCATATTAAGCATACATATCTGATGAATATTCACAGAGATTTCTACTGTAGTTTAGTTGGTGAAGTTTGATTTACATATATTTACATGTTTCGATAGAAAAACGAAGCCTCTTAAATGCATCTTAGTGGCAGCCAACTTACGGATATTGCTATTGTTTTTGCTGGCTATCTTCACTGGCGAGTGGTGGTGGACCATTACCTCCATCTGTGGCATCCACAGCACCCCTGTTCAGCAGGTAATCCAGATCGAGGGTGATGCGATCCAGAGTGGCATCATTGGCCCCACAGCCACTCTGTGTGGAAGTGGGCGTGGCTGGGGTCGTGGTCGCCGTGCTGGTGACGCTGGAGGTGGTGACCACGGCCATGGAGACCATGGTGGGCAGCAGGGGGTCAAAGGTCGTGCGGGACGTGGGCTCCAGGATGGTCACTCGCTTCTGCGTCTTGGGCGTCTGGGTGGGCAGGGACATCGCTGGAATCGCCGGAATCCCAGCTCCACTCAGGTTTCCGCTGATGGTCGGAGGTGGCGCCATGCTCAGGATTAGGGAGCTGGGCACAAAGTCCACGTAGGGATTATGCTGCAGCGGAACATAATGAGAAGTGCTGGTGGCATTGGGCATTATGGCACTGGTGTGAATGCCAATTATGCTGTCTGCAAGGAGAGGGGAGAAGAACAGAGGGGAGGTGGTCATCAGACACTAGATCGTGAATTATGCATGCCCATTTAATTGCGAGTGTTTCTCTATATTGCTTTTTCACCGAGAGAAATTTGCTTAGTAATAAGGTTATTAAAATCAAGATGGGTAAAGTTAATTACAATTTTCTTTATAAAAATAAATAAAACAGAATCTTAAGAATGATATCTTTTAATCATGATATAAAATCTCTTCACAATTTCGTTGAGTAAAATATATCATATAAAATGATTAGCCTTTTTAAGACCTTTCAATGTGAAATTTAGTAAAACACTTTACAATTCCATTCATAAAATCTCTTACAAATTTATTTAGTATAAATGATTTAACTAAATAAATAAACTTTAATTGGCATTTGTCTAGCCACTTATATTTGAGCAGAAACAACCAAGAAATGTGTTAATAACTAAAACGGTGGGTATGCATAATCTCTTCATAATCTTGTTTAGTTTCAGGTCATAAATTAAATAAATTAATTGTGATTTAAATATTTTGAAGCCCTTTCGATTTGAAATTAAACACCTAAAAACTCGAACTTTTAATGATGCTATAAAATCTCTCAAATCTCGTTCAGAATTGGTGATTAAATTAAATGTTTACATTATTAAAATACATTTTTTTAGTCTTTTATATTTAAGTAAAAGTAATCAAAACATTTTTAAATAATAAAATCTAAAATTAAATATTAAAATCTATCTTTTATAAAATCTCTTTATAATCTCATTTAGTTAAAGGGATTTACTTAAGCAAATAAAATATGAAAAACATATCCTAAAATTTTATATTTAAGAAAACTAAAATAATCTAGAAACGATAAGATAACTAAAATTGTTGTATCATTTTTTGAGTACTATGGTTATCATATACAAACTCAAACCCCTTAAACCCCTATTTCTCACTGTGTACTTACCGGCTGCCACGCCCTGCAGGATATCGAGCGTCTCCACGCCCACGAACTCGCCGCAGGGTCCTGGGCGATAATGCGTCGGCTGGTGGTGCAACGTGCGCCTCCCCAGGCTTCCTGTGAGTCCGCCCACGCCCATGCCCATGCCCATGCCCATGCCCCCTCCTACGCCCATGCCCATGCCCATGGTGTACGCATCGTAGGCAGTTCCACCGCCCAGGATGGCACAGCAACGGGTGTCCGGGGAGGGGGCCACCGAGAGGGTCTGGCGGTCGCCCAGGAAGGACTCCGCCGCTCCATCCTTTCCCGCCTGGCAGCGCGGCGCCGTCGAGATGATTGTCAGCGGCAGGGCCACCCCAGATCCGGACACGGAGCCCGGTGCTCCGGACAGCTCCAGGCCCACCTTCGATTGTAGGGGCGGGGCTCCTGGGCCGGCTGACGTGGCCAGGGATCCGCCTGCTGCGGAGGACACGCCTGCATTGGACATTGACAAGGACACGGCGCAGTCGTTCTCCTTCTCCTTGTCATGGTTGGTGTAGACTGTGGAGGGGGATTCATAATGGGTTAGCAGGGAAGCTGGTGGGGATTTAGGGAACTAAAGAACCTACAGCTCAGCGGACTATTCACATTGGCCGTCGTCGTCGTGGTGGCGGTGGTGCAATAGTTCTCGTCCAGGCTGCTCCGGCTGGTATTGAATTTGGCCTGCTTGAGGGAGCTGTTCTGGCTGCTCCCGTTGCTGCCCAGGAAGGGGGGTCCTCGCAGCTGGCTCTCGGCCCTGATGACGAAACAGATGAGGATGGCCGAGCCCTGGAAAGGCGATTGAATCATTGGGGATTGAATCTCCTGGCATAAACTGGCGGCTGACCCTAATAAAATGCGTTTGTCAACGGGATGGCTTGTCGCCCGAATGGAGTCATTAAGCCACCGAGAAAGACCCTTCGATTACGGGATAGGTGGTCCCTTTCGATGTGGAATCAAACCAAGCGATTGGGAAATTAAATGCATGACCAAAAGGCGGCCATAAATTGGGTACAAACCATATGGGCCATATAGTATTGTTGTTTGGGTGCCCATTATGTCCTTTTTTCATGAGCTCAATTTATGGTAGGCATTCCCCGAATTCCACATGCCTGGATTTTCGAACCAAATTAATTGCTAAATTAGCAAAATAGTCTTAGGCTTGGTGTACCGAAGTGCTCGAATTGTATAGATTCCCTTTGGCTACTACCAAAGGATATTTAAATACATACATATAAAGCAAAGGTACAGGTGCACAGAGAGAAGAAGATAATCCCCTACATATTATAACAATATATTTACTTGGAATTCAAGATATTACGAAGGCTACTACCAAAATTATTAGAAAAAAGGAATCTTCCTTAAAGTATTTCTATTGTTAAAGATTAACGTAGATATTATGGTAATATATGTATTTAATTTGAACTATATGATATTAAGATCCGATATTATATACAAATTTAATCGATCTTTAATATATTCCTGTTTTAAAAGTTTTACGTATTTAAATGTGCAATTCTGTTAACACTTCAAATGGAATAAAAATTTATTTTAATATATTTACTATTTTTTTAATAGATTTTCTAAAAAATAAAATGTAAGCCCCGATTTCTGTTATACATAAAATTAGGGGTTAACCGAAACAATAGTCTCTTAAGGGTTTTTTTTAATAATCTAAAAATCAGTGGTATACCATTACTAGGTAATAGCCTCTTTAATGTAGAACAGATGACTTATCGCTGATATTCTTTTCTTCTCGTGCAGTATTGTGTCTTTCCCTCTATTTAAATAATTAAACAGCAAGAGCAGACGCCCACAATCAAAGTGATTTTGGTGCACATTAATAGTCCTGGACCAGCAGAATTGAGAGGGTTGTAGACATTGTGGTTTGGGTTCCAGAGGGGTTCGTAGAAGTAGGAGTCTGCTCGACCTAATTTGTTTGTGTTTGGATTTGAATGTGCCGTGTGCGAATATTGCGTATACGCCGAGTGGAACGCACACGCGCTCACTTGCCGACTTGCCACATCAAAGTGTGTGCGTGTAATTATGTGATTAGTTTAGCCAGGATACTAGATATATAGAGTATCCAAGGCCCCCCTTTCTCTACCTCCGCCTCCGTCCATGCAGATAATTGTTTATTTAATTGGATTGAGCTGATTGCTGGGCGTACGCGGCAGTTAAACGCTTTAATGTCTATAAAAAATGTAATGTAATGGGGTCTGCACCATGCCATACCATTCCCGTAAATCAAAGAGATTTGAAACACCAGCACAAGATGCTGATTCCACTCAGGTGGTTGACTAGAGGGCACTTATTTCATTTGCACAGCAAATCACCGAGAAGTGGAATAAAAAGCAAACAATAACAGCTGGAAGTGGAAACCGAAGTCAAGTGTCAGAGCCAAGGGCAAAATAAACACGAAAAGGCTTCTTTTCGAGCTCTTTGATCAGTCAGTTAATGCAGTCGGTTGCCAGTGCCACGCCCACTCTCGCTTTCAACCGCCCCCCACGCCCATATATTCCTGAGTTGGTTTTTTGCATGCATAATTTTTTCGGGGAAGGCAGGTGTAAAAATATGCAGGCTTTACACTTTGATAAAATATGCAACTTAAATAAGTCCTCGGAAATAAAAACGAAATGCGATTTGCATAAGCCTACGCGGTACATTTGATGTTTACCCCCCAACAAATGGTTTTCGGGGGCAGTGCGAATCAAACATCCCGAACTTAATCCTATATAGTTGATATATATGTATATGCGGCAACCAAGCGCTTAATTGAATTTCAATTGCTGGCAGCTAAGTGGATGTAAACGGTTGCCCGCACTCACCAATAATATGCACGATATGCCGAACGGATATGCCCACAGTGTATCCGTTTCCGGTGAGGAATTAACATAAACGATGAAGAGTCCATCGCTGCTGATTTTGGCCAAGAGCAGTCCGCCCGCCCGGTAGAGTAATCCGAATCTGTGCGAATACATTAGATTAGAGAGGGAGAAATAGGTTTCAGTAGGGTTTGCCTTTCGGTTTCGTTATCTTATCAGATTAGCTTAGACAGAATGGAATTGAAATTCCACAAAAGAGAGGAGACATCATTAAAATCTTAGCATATCCCCCTTAACTCCCCTTATCCTTTGCCCATTTGAGATGCTCTTTTTTTTGTGCGACTTACCGCCTTTGCAAAGCCAGATTGAATTTATCCAACGGATGCGTATGCACATTGCGATTCTTGTGCCACAACCACAAAAGTTTCTTCATTAAAATGGCAAACAGGGCCGAGAAGAGCAGTATGAAGAGCAAATCGATGCAGATGAATAGGATGAAGCTCAAAGAGGGCGAGGCTTCGCTCAGACCGGAAGTGAGAGGCGCAGCCAGGGCGGAAACGGAAGTGACGGTGGAGGTGGTGGTGAAGCCACTGCTACTTTCAGTTCCCAGGCCTGTGATTGATGACGTTGACGTGGTGGCCACCTCATCATCCAGTGCAGATGATGAAGTCTCTGTTGGCGGGCTGCTAGTGCCATTTCCCATCAAAGCCTCTGACTCGAGGAGTAAATTATCGCCATTGAGCAGGGAGTGGGAGGAATAGGAGGAGTCCTCTTTCCCCGCGTTAGCTGCTTCCGGGAACGGAGATCCTGTCCGCAGGACCTCCAGCCACCAGTGTCGTGGCCACTGGCCAATGATGCTGCAGATTAGTGGGCCGGCCACGGCGAAGAGAAGCGGCAGCAGCCAACTGATGCCAATGGCGCCACGCATTCCTGCCGCCGATGATATAGTGGGTGGCAGGCGACGCTGGCCGGGATTGGAGGAGGAGGAGGAGGAGGCGCCTAGGGGCGACTGAGCCCGGATCTGCGTGATGTTGCTCAAACTCTCCAGATCCCGCTCCCGTTCCCGCTCCAGGCGCCTCTTAGTCGGCGTGCCCGGCTTGCTGCCAATCTGCAGATACTTCTGCGGCATCAGCTCCGTGTGGATGGCCAGGGCAATCGCAATCAGGGTCGAGATGCCCAGCAACAACAGCGAGGCCAGCGAGCTGCTAATGATGCCGTGCCAGCTCTGCAAGAGGAGGAAATTATGATGGGCCGTTAATAAGGAAATGGAAATGGAGTGCTTTGACGTCTGAGCTGCAACATCGTTATTTTTAATTAAATATAAAAAGTTGTCATCGTGCAGCAGTAGCAGCAGCAAAGCAGCAGTAACAACACCCATTTGGTGGTATTTTTTCTCTCTTTTTTTTGCCAACACCCTAATAGCTACATTTTGGCATAAACTTTTTATTACACTTTCGCCCGCGCTTCGGTGATTGGACATTGGTTATTACAAAGTTGTAAACAATTTGCGCCACATCATTTTTTGGGACCCTGCCTTCATGGCCAATTAGGTAGCGGTGTCCAGAAAATACTGCGCACTAAACATGCATCTTAAATTGCATTTTATATGAATCTTAGGGCTAATTGGTTGTGGGGCTTTGACAAAATTAGTTTCTACAATAGCTAGTCATAATGGGCAATATATTTTAGTTACGTAAATGTTTGCTAAAGAATTCGCGTTTTATGTTTTCCATTGAACAAGTGTTTAATAATACCTATATATCTACTTATATTTAGATCAATGAGAGGTTACAATTGCTAAAGATAAGTATAAAGGTAAATTTTGGTATATACATTTTACCTAAAGAATTCGCGTTTAGGTTTTTTTTTTAAAATATATTTAGTACTAAAATAGGTTACAAATTATTAGTTAGATCTATGTTTCTACCTATTTTGTTTTTTAATGTTAAGATGCTAAATACCTATTGGAACTTCATTATGAGTACATGCATTTTATCTAAAGAATTCGCGTTTTTGTTTTTATTAATTTCTAATTGAACTGAGGCTACCATTTCTGCTCTTCTTTCTTAACCCTTTTCTACCAGCCAAACTTATGTCCTCAACTCAAACTTAACTTAAAGTTAAGACTACCGTCGGGACTCATCATCTTTAGTAGCCTTCGGCCCAAATGTGTGGAAAACATTTTGTCAACTTTTTAATTTTCAATTTACAATACGAAAACGAATACGAATATTTCCACCCCGTCAGTTTGCCGGGGAAAATTATGAGTTAAGTGCGCTTAAAAGCTTTCGCCTTTCACATGTCCTGCTGCAGTGGCAAGACCCCTCTCTCCCCCCTCTTTTGCCTCGAGGGCGCACGGGTCGTATGCGTAATTTATGTTTTCTTATTTATTTATTGTTTTTTTGTTGCTCGTCGTTCCGTTTAACTGTCGTGCTGAAATTGTATTTTATTTATGCTCGCAAATATATGCAATAAGTAAAATGAATATTTTAATTGTATTTATTGTGGCATTGCGTGGGCGTGGGCGTGGGCGTGGTCGTGGTTTGGTGGCTGCGGCTGACGTCCATCGCCGTTGCAGCCACGTCTTCGCTGCTCCTCCGGTGGCCCTGGAACATCCTGCTCCTCATCCTGCTCCTCCTCCTGATCCCGCCACTGTGACACGTGTTTCAAACCATAAAATTTGCATGTGTGCACATGTTCGGGTGTGGTACTTTTTAATAAAGTTGCCCCGGCCGCGTGTGCGCGCAATTAATGTGCAATAATAATAATAATAATAATAATTATAAGTGTGTGCGCATTCTGTTATTAAGACAAAGTTTCCCTCTGGCTGAAAATGCCGCGAATTCCGAAATGCGCATTGTGCAACTCATCGCACTGACGTAAGTTGCTCATTAACTTGGCCAACACAGAGGAGAGAGTCCGCATTGTGCCCGTGGGTCCAGCCTATGCCAGGTTTTATTTTATTGTCCGGTGTCCTGAGTTCGAGGAGGGGCCAAGGAGGATCCACCACAAGCTGCCTACTGCTGCTAGCACAAACGCTCGTTATTCAAAAATTCCTCCATGGCAATCCTTTGAGACGCAACCCGTATTGCGTGCGGCAGAAATGTCGATGCAGATAGCGAAACATACTCGCTCCTCTCCTGCGAATGTGGCGTCCACGGTCGGATTCCCAGGATGTGAGTACATCTTTGTGCCCAGGTCGGCACCGTCATCGTTTGCCTTTGTCAACGGTTCGAGAATGCGAGTGCTCCCAGGAGCTGCACGGCGAGAAAATGCCATCACCTAATCATAACTCTAGTGTTTGGTAACTATCAAATCCATCTCAATATTGAGAACATTACCATATTTTCGCTTTTCTTTAAATATATCGAAATATCATCATCAATATCATCATTCTAACATACCATAGCATTTTGAGATTCCATTAACCATATCCATTATTTACAAGAATACTAAAATTACGGATTCTAACATACCATCCTTCACTATCAAGAAAATGTAAACACATAATCATAATTCTAGTATTTGGTAACTATCAAGTCTTTCTCAATATTGAGAACATTAGCCTATTTTCTCTTATCTTAAAATATATCGAAATATTATCGTATTCCAACATTCCATAATATTTTGAGATTCCTTTAACCATATTTGTTGTACCTTATGAACAAAATGTCATCACCTAATCATTTTTCTAGTATTTGGTACCTATCAAGACTTTGTCAATATTGGAAGAACTACTCATTTTACCTTTCCTTGAAATTTATCAAAATATCAACGGATTCTAATGCACTATATCAGATATTTTGAGATTATCACCCATATTTATTATAATGCTTATCGTATATTTACCTTAACTTATCAAGTCTATGTGAATATTATAGAAATGACTGCTAACATACTATATTTTTTTTGGGATTTCATAATCTGTTATCCATTATAATGCTTATCATATTTCTGGCAATACCTCTGAAGTCATTGACAATATTAAGAAAATTACTCTATTTTACACGACAATTACCAAAGATAATATATATCAAGTTTCGGGAGAAGTGGTGGAGTGGGTATGCTTTTTATTAGGGATGACATCAATGTCTATCCAAGTCTTTTTCCAAGTGTTGCCACTGCTCCATATGCCCTGGCCCAAACCTTTCCATACTGCGACCTCGCATCCTTTGCTGAATCTTTATCTGCAAGTGCCCGCTTCTTTGTCGTCTCCGCGTTGTCGTACACAATGTTTTATTTGTTTTTCATCCGTTTATTGAGCCGTTGCTTCCACTGCGGACCAGTTTATTACTAATTCAAAAATGTTATTTCTTGTTAGAGCTTTGCAGTTACTTCTTTTTTTCGCCGAGCGTTTCACGACCCCCGGGGATTAGGCAGCGCAACTTTATTCGCTTATGCTTTTTCTCGTTTTACGTTTATAATTTAGACGGCTGGCGGGTGCCTTGGGGACCGAAAACAGGACCAGGACCTCCTCCAGGACGGATCCTTGGCCAATGGGTTGGCATATATACATATATTCCACCAACGCGCTCGGGTTAACGTCTTTCCCATTAACATTTTCCCACTTCAAACGTCTGAGAGTGTGCGTTTATAAATATTAATTTCGATTCTGGCTCCTTTCGGGGAGATCCTGCCACCTGACCTCCGACCTCGGAACTCCTGCTCCAGCTCCTCCTCGGAGTCGAAGTCTGCGTCGTGCATTGTTGACTTTTAATTTCCTTCGAAGGAGGTCGACGCCAACAGGTTTGGGAATTGTTTTCCATGAATTTTCCGTTTGGCTGCCACGAAAACTAAATGTAAATTATTTGCTTTGTTGTCCACCGACCTCTGAAAATGCCTTAAATGGTATGGTATGGTATGATAGTATAGTATGGTAACGACACGCTAATTTGTTTTGATGATGATTACAGATTTTTGCCTTGGCCTTGATTATTATTTGAAAAGCCAGCTCAAAAATTGGTGATTGCCGCCGAGCAGACAACACCGCAAATAATTACAACTTAAGGGTTTTTTGGCCTGCTAGTTTAAGCCGATGGGATTTTACATCTTTAAAGGCTGTGGGTTTGGGGAAAGTTGGTGTGGGAAAGTCGTTTCTGTTTCGATTGCCTTGCGCCTTCCCTTATATCATGCAACACTTTTTGTTATTACTTTCTCGACTCCTCGGTTCCCACCGAATATATGTATGTTTGGTTTTGGTTTTCGGGTTGCTTTGCTTTCAGCTTGGCTTTCCTCCATTTTACTTGTTTATTTATTTTGGCGTAATTAAATTTCACGCTTTGGTTGCCTTTTTTCTTGTTCCCAGTGCAGGATCTCAAAGGCTTTGTTTTAAAGGGCCGCATAGCACTAGCGCATTTAACTGCACCGGGGCATGCCTTTTTGTGGGGCATTTAAATGCTCGGTGGTGGGAAATCACAGCACTTAAGAAATGAAACGTAGGTGTTGGTAACTATATTTTTTATACATTTTTTACCTAAAGCTCACATTTATTTGTTTGTAAAATATGCTTAATGATTAATATAATTAATATTTTAACATTCCTAAAAGGATCAAATATGTACCATCATCATTTATCATCATATTTAGAACATTCGTATCTTAAATAACTTACTGGCATTTGAATCTAGCTTATTTTCTACATGGTCCTAAAAGGATCAAATATATACCATCATCATCTATAACCATATTTAGAACAGTCCTATCTTAGGTAACTTACTGGCGTAAATATAATAATACCATGTTGCACAACCTGCGATGAAGTCCCTAACTTTTAATTCACTTTGAAATCACTTTGCTGGCACTTCTATTTTTACATTAATAAATTACTTATTTTTATAGAAATTGATAAATCTATCATTATATAAAAATAAACCTTTCTTAATATATTATATATTCATAATATATTCATTTATTAAAACATTCTGAATATTATTGGAACATTTTTTTTAATACCTTTCTTTGGTTTTCTACTTATTTCTATACTTTTCATGGGATCTGTTTTTAATTTTAACACACTTCTTATAGGAGTACAGTCTTTGATTCAAAGGTCTGTGTAAATCCATACTTACAATACTTAATATTATATCTTTTGAAATTGATAAATCTATCATTATATAAAAATAAACCTTTCTTAATTTATTATGTATTCATAATATATTCATATATTAAAACATTCTGAATATTATTAGAATATTTCTTTTAACACCTTTCTGTGCCCTTCTATTTATTTCTTTACTTTTTATGGGATCTGATTTAAGTTTTAACACACTTCTTATAGGAGTATAATTTTTGATTCAAAGGTCTATGTAAATCCCTCTTTATAATACCTTATATTATATCATTTCCACTCACCACGGGCAGCATTTTCATGAATCCCAGCAAGTAGATGAGCATCACACTGGACGTGGACACGCAGAACTGCATCTTGAGGAACGTGACGGCGCACTTGCGATTGCACCAGATGGGCGCCAGGATGAGGAGGGCGGATCCGCACTGGAGGAGGCAGCAGGCGCAGCTGGCGATCACGAAGAGGGGGCGCTGCGGGACCTGGGACGGGGTGGCCTACGAAATAGAAATGGGTTTGCAATTGGCGAGAGCCCGAAAACAATTAGCAATTCAAACTAGCGACGAAGCGAAGGCTAAAGTCGGCCAAAATGCTGTTTGCCTTGGCAGGCAGCCGCCGACAATCGACCGAATTCAAATTTGGTCAGGGATGCAGCTTTAACGGTGGGAAACGCTTTTATAGGTCTTTAAAAATGCCGAACCCAAGTAATTTGAATTTTTTGGGGGGCTTACTTCATTCTTTTGGGTTTAACGGAAATTAAATGTGTTATTTAATAGGAAAACAATTAAAAACAAATATAGAGAAACATGGTTATTTATTATTAAGGTATAGTAGAATTTATAAACTAAAGGACTTTATTTAATCTTTTTTTAAAATACCTATTCAAAGCTTTGAAAATTGTGTTGCAAACCATTTATTTATAACCAGAAAACTCTTATGACTAAAAAAAAATTCCAAAATAAATGGTTTATAATGTCACCTAAGATAAAGTAAGCTATGGATAACCAGTTTATGAATGGAACCACTGGATTAAAGGCTAACAGGGCCGCTTAATAAATCCCCCCGGCTTTTTGATCGTTGTGCATCCCTGATTTAAAGTATTTCCGCTGTGACTGAATGCCAACCAGCACAATACAGAATTCAGAAGCGAAAACCAGAAAAAGCGAGTGCATTTGGAGCAAGTTCATGGCGGCGGAGGCCAAGTTGTTGATTGCGAGCAAGGGAAGCGGAAATGCGGACAAAGAGTGGCCCCCAGTTTCCCACTCCCCAGGTGGAGGCCACTAAATGGCAGGTCCTAAAAGTGGCCATAAATCAAAGGGGGCCCTTCCACTTTGGTACACGTGAATTGCATGAATTGGCCAGCTGGATTCCAGCTTCCATGGCAATCCAGCCGCGTGGCCTTGGCGACCTTGGTGACCCTGGCTTACATTCGGCTGGCGCTTGGTGAGCATGACCACGTAGGTTCCAGACAGCGGGCAGATGCAGCGCGTTATGTTGGCCATCAGGTGCTTGGTGATGCACAGGTCCGACCGCCAGGTGGAGTCGAAGGAGGCCTTGTAGTCGTGGCTGCGCGGATGGTGGGTAATGGATTTAATCATCAATCGCTGGATAAGGGCTGCCCCCCACTCACCCACAAACGGCCACCCAATCACCCGATTTGGGAACGCTCTCGTGCTGGAAGATTATCTCCACATGACCAGCCTCGAAGGGCAGGTCCAGGGGCTCGCGGAAGTTGTCGTTGGAGCGATTCGACTGGAACAGCCAGGTTTGGATGATCCGAGAGGCCAGCACATAGTCCGAGTCCCTGGGATCGCTATAGGATCAGGAATAAGTATTTTATAAATAATATTTAGAGATTACTTTTTTATAAATAGTTTTAAAAAGTCTAAAAGTGTATTCCGACAGAAACCTGTTTTAAAACATAGCCCTACATAATTACACAGAGAAAACAAGGAAGAACGCTATAGTCGAATACCTCGACTATCAGATACCCGGTACTCAGCTAAAGGGACCAAAGGGAAATGGAGATATGCAAGCAGCAAAGCGAGATTAAAATGCGCCACCTACCGGCGGTAGACAGATTTAAGCGTTATGAGCGTTAGAGTGGGCGTGGCAATTTTTTTTTAAAATCAATCGATAAATATTGACGAGACCAATACATTTCAGTTAAAATTTTTTATCTAGCATGAAAATTGTGGGCGTCACAGGTTTTCGCGGTTTGTGGGCGTTAACGTGGGCGTGGCAAACTTTTTTTTTTGGGTCAATCGATAGGTATTGATGAGAACATTACATTTCAATTAAAATTTTTATTCTAGCATCAAAACTGTAGGAGCCACAGTTTTGGGCGGTTTGTGGGCGTTAGAGTGGGCGTGGCACTCTACTGAAACAAACTTGCGCTGCGCAGGAATCTCAGGAATCTGCGTGCCTAATCCCAGTATTGTAACTCTCATAGTTTCCGAGATCTCAGCGTTCATACGGACAGACGGACAGACGGACAGACGGACATGGCTAGATCGACTCGGCTAGTGATCCTGATCAAGAATATATGTACTTTATGGGGTCGGAAACGCTTCCTTCTGCCTGTTACATACTTTCCGACGAATCTAGTATACCCTTTTACTCTACGAGTAACGGGTATAACTACCTTTAAGTTTACTATATTTGGAAGAACAAGGTTTTAGTTATCATATTTTATGTTTATTTTATATCCCTACATAATTACACATAGAAAACTACCTATAAGATTACGATATTTGGAAGAACTGGGTTTAAATTATCGCATTTTATTTTTATTTATCCTTTTTTTTGAAAACAAAGGCGGTCTTTACATTGTTTATATTTTTTTAATACTTTATGTTATTGTTTATAAAAAGTTTATCTGTGTAATACCCAGAGTAATATATCTTAATATAGTTCTGCGTATTCTTCCATTTGATTTAAACCTTTTTTAAAACATTCTATTACATTATTTATTGTCTTTAAAAAGTATATTTTGTAAAACCACAAAAAATATATCATGACTTATTTTACCATCTCCTCTCCATTGATTTATTTATGTTTTGAAAAAGTAAATTCCTTTCCCAATGCCTTTCTGTATCTTATCTATTTATTTTAATAAAAGTTTTGTACTTTATGAAAAGCATATTACCAACTATATGGAATTTATCCAGTTTCAGCTTATCAGATCTAGCGTTTGTCTCATTTTTTAAGGGCAATAATCAAGATTTGATGGCAACTGCGTTGGCATGTTGGGTACATGTACCCCGGAAAGCATACTCTTTCCCCAATTCACCCATATTTTTTCCCTTTTGTCCTGGCAGCTGCACATTTGCATTTTGTTTACAGCTGGGGAATTACACTCGTAGCTGTGGTATTGTTGCTAGTGTTTTCCAGCTTGGTGTAATGCGCTTAAGCCAAGGAGCCAACTCGTCTCCTCCAACAGGACTAAGGATCCAAAGGAGGCGGAGAGTGACAGCAGTTGGCATTACACATATTTGAGGACTAGGCAAACATGGCTTGCGAATTATACATCGGTGGCCATAAGCCGGGATTTACCAACAAGACAGCTTTCTTGTCTTAAATAGGGGAATTAAACATGTGCATCTTAAACTCTTTCTTCTTGGCCAGCCCCTATTTACCGGGATCGTTTAAATTTGGCAACTTTTGTGAAACTTTCGCCAGACGGCTATCAAGAACTAATTAGCGGATCCGGGAAAATTAAGAAACTTATAGCTAGTTCGACTCACCTGCCGCGCGTGTAGTAGGTCTTGGGTAAAAAACTTTTGAGATTCTTGTACGAGATGACCGAGGCGAAAATCGTCGAGTTGGCCATGATGTGCAGCAAACGGGCTGAGAGTCCAATGTCCATATACAGCTGGTCCGAAAACAAATCCTCTCTGCATAAACAAAAAAAGGAGGTAAACAGAAAAAAAATCTATAAGATATGATGATCATTTTGATAAATTTCAATATCCATTCTTTCTAGATACGAGACGTAACACTTTGAAATGATCGACATAATGCTTCTTGCTCTCTTTTTAAGTTTCGGAGTGTTCCGCCATCTTGCTTTTGGCTCTCTTTTTATATTTTGGAGAGTTCCGCCATCTTGCTTTTTGCTCTCTTTTTCTATTACGGAGAGTTCCGCCATCTTGGTTTTGGCTCTCTTTTTCTGGTTCGGAGAGCTTCGCCATCTTGCTTTTTGCTCTCTTTTTCTATTTCGAATAATTTCGCCATCTTGCTTTTTGATCTCTCTTTCAAAATCGTATTTCGATCTCATTTTCTACTTTGGAGAGTTTCAAAAAAAATCAAAGGTATACCATTTCTCAATATCAAACTTACTTTATCCACTGGTAAAACCGATATTGAATAAATATCTTATGCGAATTTGTTTTTTCCTGTGTAGGAAAATGCATGAGCCGCCGTAAATCAGGCAAATTGTAGTCGCCTACACTTAAGGCACTTAATTAGCTAAATTAGACACTTGGAAGCCGGGTAGCCTAAGAACCTGCAAGATGGAAATACCTGTCCGGAAACGACAAGGTTCTCCCTTATTTTGCTCCTTTAACTTGGCTGCAAGTTCGCCGAGCTTTTCCACTTTTATGAGCCATTCTTCATGCCACAACCTCGCCTGTTTTATGCATTTTTTATTTATGTTTGCTCATAAAATAAATTTTCCATTAAGAGCCCTCCGCCTTTGCCAAAGGTGGGGGGGAGGAAAATCGTTTTCCTTCGTCGCATATATTAATCAAGGGGCCGTAAAATGAAGTATACTGTTTACTCGCGTTGCAAATTTGCATTTCGCCCCATTCGTAATTAGAAATTATAGCCAACTCGGCTGGGATGGAAATCTGATTTCATTTTAGAGGCCATTTGTCTGTTTGTTTGCTGGTTTTGCTGCAACTCACCCGTAAATGCGTAAATTAAACGGCAGCGTTTTCACCGATGTCATGTAAATGCGCAGCGAATTCAGTCGGTCCAGCGAGAGGGTGTCCTCATCGACAGTCAGGATGCTGGAGGCACCTGCTCCCGCTCCCGCTCCCGATCCTGCTGCAGTGCCTCCTCCTCCGCTGCCGGCTCGTGTTGCCTGCAGGCTGCCCGCCGGTGCCGCGGAAATCTCACCTGCCGTGACCCCTGACCCGCTGCCATCGTCACCCGCCGCCGGCTGGCCCTGGCTGCTCCCACTGGTCGAGGTGGCCAGCTGGGAGGCCGCGATGGTCTCGCGGTTCAGCGCCGCCGATTGCGTCAGCTGCTGCAGCTTTTTAATTTGCTGAAACGAAAGCCGGAACAAAAGGTCGAGCGGGTAAATAATGGCTTTCATCGGTGTCCAGCGAAAATCCACAGTCCACATGTGTCGGAAAATCGTCAATGAGTGGATCAATTTTGGGTCTCGTATTTTTAATGAAATTTCGAATCATTTCAATAGAGTCGTAGGTGATAAAAGTTGGTATAAAGTTAGTATTTACTGATAATAAAAATACTAAAATAAATATTTCTTTAAAGACACCATGTATCTTTAAGATTTAATAAAGATACTTGGTGTCTTTACTGGTAATAAAATCCTAAAATAAAAATAAAAATATTATATTCCTTTCAAAATTTAAAAGGTGTGAACAAATTTTAATATTATTCTAAGATAGTTTTTTTTCCAAAATGTTTTTTAATAAAAATTGTAAAAATGCCGAGGCAATAATTCTATAAGCTTTGGTTTCAATTTAAAAGTTATAGAACGATTAAATTTGAATTTATATTTAATTGTTTCCGTTTTAAAAAATTGTTATCCGCAGCAACAATAAATATGTTTCTCTATAAAATATTTGATCCTTTAAAGCTAATAATCATCAAACAATAAACCGCAAACTAATAAAAATGCCTGAAAGATTTGTTATGATTGCTCTTGCCTGAAAAATATAAACATATTCATGTTGATGTCTTTGTCCTGAGCCAAAAAGTATTTCAATGAAAATTGGTTTGTATATGTTTATTTGTTTGCTTTTTTCTGTTCTGCCCCCAAACCAGGATTTATTTTTGCAAGTGTGGCTGAAAACCAAGTGTTTGCCAGTGCCTCAATTCAATATGAAGGATAGGTAATACAGATAAGACCCCGGCATATGCCATGTTTATATTTACCCGGCATCGGCCACACAAACCGCTGCCAACAACAATCGATTGGAGTCCGGCGATGAACTTTTGGCCAAAATCAAGGGGGAATCCTGGGAGGGATGGAAGGACCAAGTCTGCCGCCGGCCATGTGGCATATTTTCCGGATATTTTCAGACGGGCTACAGAAAGCGCAGTCAATGAACCCGGGCCATAAAAATCATAAATTGCTACGTTCTCGAGTGCAGTTACAAAGCCATAAACCCAGGCCAATATAAGCAGGACCCGAACTATAACGTTCGATTTTCGCAATTTGTAATGCGAAAGCCATTCAGAGGGATCTCGAATTTCGCAATTTATAATGCAAAGCCTGTGTGAGTACACACATTTCGTTACTCGGCAGTATTTCCTGCACAAATCAAAAATAGCACCGGACTCAACGCATTTGTATCTGTATTTTTTACATAAGATACAAACATACTGTGTACTGTGCCGAGCTAACTAATCGAAAGCGAAAACAATTCCAATTGGAAAAGTTTGTGTAATGGAACTTTTCCGAACACAAAATCAGAAATCAGGAAAAAAAAATGAGGAGAAGGAAACCAAAACTTCAGCATCATCAGGGCATTAAGCCTTGCTGCTATATATGTATGTACGAGTGCCACGCCCCCGATTACGGGCACGCCCTCGAATGGAATCCAATGCCCATTCAAATGTGTGGCATTCGTATGATTTCTTTAAAAGGCGCTGAAAAGAAACTCTCGAAAAGGCAGGAATAAAAAGCCTGCAGAAAGTTTGCCATGTGCAAATTTCACTTGACTCTCGACCTAGCCACGTTTAGCAGTTTACCGGCAAATCACTTGGCCAAAAGCAAAACCCACCTCCCCCCCCCCCCACCCCCAAAAAGGGCGTGGCCATATGTGAGCTAAACTTTATTTTTAGCCCGGTATGCTGCAAAGTTTTAGCCATGACTTAGGGTCACGTTTGCAGCGAATACTTTTTCGGCTAAGTGATTCGTCGTGATTTGATTTGAATGGGAAGTTCGCTTTTGGCCCACTTTTCACCAGCCTGATCATGTTCGAAAAAAAAAGAATAGAAGAAAGTGGGTCAGTTCCGAGTTAACTTGGCTGGTCAATACCGCCAACTTATGCAAATCCCAGCACACAAGTGTTTTTAATCAACTTTTCGGACTCGTTCGCTCTCTGCAAACATTCAAAAATGAGCAGCTTTCCATCCGCAAAAAACTTTTTCAATTGCCATTTCCACATTTCCACAGACCGCAAAAATGGAGGCTGTCTGTCCACTCCGATCGCTTTTCGCATTTCACCATCCAGTTCGCTGGGCGTGAATGAAAATTTGTTTTAAGCAAATGAAATGCCATCATAAAAATTCCCATTCGGGATTATTATTATCTATCTATCAACATATTGATGAGGCTTAGGCCTCCGCGTTGCATGAATAAAATCGCTCTTTCACACATGACCGTTTATTCGGTCGAATTAAGTGGGCGGCTTTATGGGGGGCTCATTTTATGCAATCCCCACTTTTAAAGTTGAAAACTTTTCCGTAAATGCTGACGGCCTTGGCTGATTACTTTCACGGATTTCCTCGGACCGCCGCGATCCACTAATTAAACTTGATTGCTCGCGAAAAATTCGATAAACTTGGGGATGCTATGGAAGATGGGGGATTTGAATTCGACTCACTCCATTAAACTTTTCGCTCAGTCAATAAAAACGATGCGAACTATTTGCTCAACTTCAGCAAAAGTTCGCCGAATGCCAACGCTTTTTAATCGACCCAATTATGCTGCCAAGTTTTTCCGACTGCGTCAGCTAATAAAAATTTAACATAAATTGTTCTTTCTGGATCGAAATTCGGGCTCACATGGCGCATTATATTGAAATGCCATAACTCAGCTGAAGTCTTACGAAACTAAATTAATATATAAGCATTGAAAAGTGGCTCCTACTATTGAAGCCCTCGAAAAACTTGCTTGGTTCCCCCAATCGTTAAAGATGAATATAAAATTGGGTTGACTAATAGATTATTCTGGAGGTGTACAAGGCGCCAACTGCGAAAGGGAGCTATCCAATTATCAGTACTTCATGACGGGTCCTTCGAAGCGGGGGTTTCGCCATATTCAAACAGTTGCAATCAACACTCTCATAAATTTGCATACCAAAATTTCAGCCTTATCCTGTAGTCCCTGTTCTTTCACTTTTATGCCGAACGCCAAGTACGCAGATTTCGCCCACGGAATAATACATGAGAAGAGCTGAGTGTCTCCGCCCAACAAACAAACCCTGCTTCTCCGCTTTCAAAATCCTCTGTTGAGCTGGAAACAATGGAAACCACAATCTCGGGCGGAGATACACACACCACTCAGCTACACAGAGAAAAAAAGTGATATATGATGATTATTTTTATGAAATTCAGTATCAATTCTGTCAAGATGCGGGACGTATCACTTTGATATGTTCGCCATCTTGCTTTTTGCTCTCTATTTTTTTTTCGAAAAGTTTCGAATGTCACTGTCGCCATCTTGCTTTTCGCTATCTTTTTCTATTTAGAAAAGTTTCGAATATCACTGTCGCCATCTTGCTTTTTGCTCTCTTTTTCTATTTCGAAAAGTTACAAATGTCACTGTCGCCATCTTGCTTTTTGCGCTCTTTTTCTATTTCGAAAAGTTACGAATATCACTGTCGCCATCTTGCTTTTTGCTCTCTTTTTCTATTTCGAAAAGTTTTGAATATCACTGTCGCCATCTTGCTTTTTGCTCTCTTTTTCTATTTCGAAAAGTTTTGAATATTACTGTCGCCATCTTGCTTTTTGCTCTCTTTTTCTATTTCAAAAAGTTTCGATTATCACTGTCGCCTCCTTGCTTTTTTCTCTCTTTTCCGATTTGTATCTTTAATAGAATTTGCATTTCTCAATATCAAGTTAACACTGTTCAATGGCAAATATGATACTTTATAAATTTACCCTGCGAATATCAAATTCATCCTTTTGTGTTTTTTTCCTGTGTGCCCAAAAAAAAAGAATATTAAGGAGACGCACTTTTCACCGCCGTTTCGAGGCTGTAGATTGGGGAAAAGTGTCTGGCTTTTCCGCAGGTGATAAGGAAGTGGTTATCCTTATTGTCCTGCGGAGGGTCGCGGGCAAATTGTTTGATTGCCCCTCATTAGCAGCACCTTTTTTGGACCCCACAGAGGTTGGGGTAGCTCCTTCTCCATTAGCCCTTATGCTAAATGGAGCGTAAATAGGCTGATTTCCGGCAGGAGGAAAGGATTTTTAATCTGTCAGAGGTCTATCCAATTATCGCTGCAGTGGAATCGGCACGTGGAGCACGAACTTGTCGGCCCAGGAAATCTCATAATTCACCTCTCTCTCTGGGTTTACGGAACCCTGGAAACCCGGAACCCAGAAAATAACCACAGACAAGCCCGGTAAATGCACAAGCTCATGCATATCGAAAAAGGTATTCATTACCAGCCGGCAGGCTCATCAATTCTCCGGCTGCTTTGGAAATCCGAACACGGATTGGGGAGACAAATGTAGGTATGCAAATTGCCGCCACCCAGTGACAGGCCAACTACAAGCTAAATAAAAGCTGCAAAATGCTCACCTTTGCCCCAGTTCGATTCGGGTGTTTTTTGGGGCGCAATAAATCCCTCACATGGGTTGGGGGATCCTAACTCTACCAAGGCAAATATTGAATATGGCTGCAGGTTATAAATTATGGCGCCACTCCATATGGGAGTACACTGGCCATAATTTATGCCCAATTGCAGGCAAGGCATCCTGCAGGCATCCTGGGGCTCTGGTATACTGGTATCCTGGTTCACTTACCTGTTGACTGTTCAAGGATTGGGCATTCTGCATGACTTTATCCAGGATGCGCAGTATTATCTCCGCGGCCATCTCACGCTCCAGTTGTGTGCCTTTCAATTGCAGGTAGGTGTCGAGCTGTGAAGTGGCCAAGGAAACACCGAGTTCAACTTGAGACAACATAATACAAGTCCTGCTATCCTTAAAGCAAGACGAAGGAGGAGGAGGTCCTTCCTATCTCCTGCTGGCAATTCGTTAGCCGGGGAAATTTGTGTGCGCATTAAAATGAAAAATTGTTGCTAGGCAACCCCAAAGGCTGGAACTTTTCTTTGACTGCACTTGGGCAACCGAAAATTGTGTGAAAAATGGCAAGCCGCCCGGCTCGGCAGCTTTTTGCATTCATTTGCGTGTAAAAATAGTTACCTTGCCGGTCGCCCTACAAGCATACCTGGCTCTCAAGTGCCCCGAAAAGCCAGGTGGGGCTTAAATGTGTTAAGGGTTTTTGGGGGAAGCGAACAGACAGGACGGACAAATGCCCTAAAACGGAGTCCGCAATCTCTCGACCGAGGTCCTGCGGCAACAAGATATTACGCCGCAAAAGGGAATTGCAATTCCGATTTTGATTAGGCCAATTTAACCAAATCTGTCACATTTCGGCAATGTTATGGCCATCCCCTCGGCGACTTTTACATTTATGTACCCTTGCTGGGAATGGTTTTGGCTTTAACTGCGGATTGCCAATCGGTTGGTCGAGTAAATTTATTCATATTTCGGATTTAATTGAAAATATATTTCTAGGGAATGTTCTTTAGGTTAAAACGAATTCTATTATATCCGTACTTAACCTAGTTGAAGATCGGTATCTTACTGGTTTTCTTATGGCCATATGACACTAGCACTTGTGACTATATGAGACTGGCTTATCCTCTTGCTAACTTCTTGGATTTATTTTAAAAATCATAGCAACATGGTGATAAAGATACACAGCTCAACATTTTATATATATTAACAGATATGCTATGGTCTATTTAAAAAGGTTTTTGCGATACTTTTAAGATGGGAATTTTTAAAAATTTTGAAAAACGCTTTTATTTGGTAATATGAAATGTAAGTAGTATTTTATAAAATATTTTATTTATGAGTAGATAGTTTTTCTAGTTTTTAGACACAAACGCCATGGAATCAACATATAATACTTTTAGAGTCAGTGTCATAAGGACATAAGCTTTGATAACCTTAGTATCCTTAAGATACGTTGCTTTAATAGGTGTTTCCCTATTCCCTAAACTTATTTAGAGATCTTCGGTTTCCGAAGATAACCCTTTTTGGGTGTTCCATTTCCCAACTCACCTCGTGCAGCATGTCGATGAGGAAGCTGGCCTCTCCCGGCAGGAAGCTGTGCCGCCTCTGCAGGGTGAAGTCGAAACAGGCCTTCAGGATGTTGGAGGAGTTCGTCTGCTGGAAGCCGGCGCTGAGGGCCAGGAAGCGGTTGTAGATGAGCAGCAGCTCGTCCCTCACGCAGCCGGAGAAGTCGGGCAGCAGCCAGGTGGAGTTGCCCGTGTCCCGCTGCTCGCAGATGCGGCGCAGGTGACCCTCGAACCCACGCGGACAGTCGGTGATGATGGGCGCTCCAGGGGCACTGGTGGGCCAATGGACTCCGTAGGTGGACTCCGTTGGACACACGTGCACCGCATTCCGCTCGATGACATTGATGTAGACACTGCGGGACACCGGCCGCACGCTGTTGGACACCAGGCAGGCGTACTCCGCCGACTTCTGGATGTTGTTGATCTTCAGGATGCTGCCGTCGGGATAGAGGTCCTCCCACATCGCGGTGGCCGCATCCGACTGGAAGAGCACCCCGTTGCGGGTCCAACTGTAGCCCAGCTGTGCGTACCGCTTGATGTCATCGTTTCCGGGGGATAGACATCTCACACGCAGGGAATCCCCGCGCTGCAGGGTCACACTCGCCGGATCCACGCGCAGACGGGGCGGGGACTTGATGTGGATGTGCAGGGAGCGGCACTGCTCCACGCCCCAGTCGGTGACCTGGAGGGGAGTGGGAGAGTGGGTAGACGTGGTCAGTCGAGCTCATTACACAAAGTCCAGTGAAACAGTCAAAGGGACTGGCCACAAGGAACGCCTGTCAGTGGCAGACCATAAAGCCATGGGTTTTGATTACTCATATCAAGAGGGAGAGACAGATGAGGTCAGAAAAACATGCTAACCACTTCCAATGGGAAACCTTAAAATACCCAGATTAAAAAACAAATCCTAAAATTACAAAATACCCATTTAAATTAAAAGATATATAAAATTAACATTTACGAAATATTCTAAAAGCAAAGATAAAACTTTAAGAATTGTATATGTTCTTTAAAATTAATGATTTAAATATTTCTCATGAAAACGAAAAATATTTTTAAATAGGTTCATCGTTTCCAAATTATCAAAATTAATATATAATTTAAAAAACTGTTAAATTCTGAACTCGCCCAAAATGAAGTAGATAATATAAATGTTTAACTATTATTTGTTTTTTATTATTTAAAGGCTTCTTTTGATATTATATTGATATTAACATATAATTCGCAATCAATACACCAGTATAATTTTATAAAAATTGTAAAATGGCACCCTGGATATTTTAAAAACTTGTCATAAATTATATATACATTGGACTATTATTGCGACCCCAGCTGTAAGAACATTCATAGCCTAGCGATACCTTCCGGTATAATATAAATTATTCCCAACAATATATACTTTGAGCTGGTATAATTTACAAATATTCCAAATTGGTTAGTGATTGGTGGTGATTTGTTGGTGGCTTATGAATTTTTTTTCAAAGACTACATATAGTCTGAACTATTATTGCGACCTCTGCTGTAAGTGCATTGATAGCTCACCCATGCCTTATGCCCAATGACCATAGGACACACATCAGCCTCGTCTGAGGGCAGGACACACATCCTCGTGCTGGCGATGTCCTTTTCAAGCCTGTCGGCAGGGACAAGGGCAACAATTGTGGCCAGCCTCTGCTCGAACTGAACTCCGAGGGCTGTCACCCGAGGATTTGTTTAATAGACTTATTTGCCAGTCAGCTGGACCTCATTGTGTGCTGATTGGATATGACGAGCCTGATTTTGCTTGGGTCTGCCGTTTGACTCGGGGCGATTGGGATATGCATATGAGCATAAATCAGATGGAAAATCTCGTTGAGACTCGTGCATTAGTTTATGAAATGTAATTTAAAAGCTTAACGGCCCGAACGGGATGGCCCAGCGTATTTGTCGCAGCAAAATGAGGCACTGAGCTGGGGATTAGCATTTATTTGCCTGGCCACTCGAACGGCAAGTCAGACGATGTCCAGCCGTGCCTTTGGAGTCCTCCGAAGGACCCTTGAAGTTCCACACCAGCCGGAGTATTTACGACCACTTGCTTGGCCAAGAGCGATGGCTACTTAAAGCCCCCGTGCATTCGTGTGGGTTAAAGCCAACCTTTTGCATTTACTTATGTAGTTATTTATTTATTTATTTCCACGCGGTTGGCGAGCAAACGAATTGTAAACTTGCTTTGTTGCGAATGCCATTGTTGCACATTCCTCCTTTGCAAAGACAGTTATATACACTCGTAAAAAATCTAGAGGAATTTATTTACGAGCTCAAAACTAACCGGAAATGGGATTTAGCGAGCCAGAAAAATATTTTATTGTACACTGATAAAAAAATCATCATGTTAATTTCTAAATTTGGTGTTTAGCATTTACATTAAATTAGACATTAGAGATAAAATAATACTCTTTATAAAAAATGTTAATTTCTTGATATAAAATATGAAAATATTTTTATATATTAGATACGATACTAGTCTTATTTACTTAAATAATTTTAAAAACATATGAGCTAATTTTTAAACAAATATAATAAAGAAATGTCAAAAAATACCAAGAAAATATGATATTGAGGTCGAAAATTTTCTCAATTTAATCCTACAACGCATCTTGAAACTATTTTCTAATTTCGGTATTTTAGATCTATTAATGGTATTTTTTACAAATAAAATATTATGTTAATAACAAAAATAAAGGTATTTAAAATTTTTAATTTATTATAAATGTTAGACTTGGTAATTCCATATTCAACAGGTTTACAATCAGCAAGGAATGAAAACCATAGCGAAAATAGTTAGTTAGTATAAAATATTAAGGGATTTACTACGAATTTTTATCAGTGTACCCTTTATGTACTTATTTCTTTAAAGAGCATAACTTGAGCTCCTATTCTTATGATTTTCTTCACCTCAGATAGTTATTTCAAGTGCAGTACTTCTCGGGTCATAGAGAAAAACCTAGACGATGACGATGATGATGATGAGGATGGTGATGGGCTCGCGTCTGCCAGATGCTCGGCAAACTTCCGTTTCAAATTTAAAAAAAAAAGAGAAATAAGAACGATACAACTAACGAGGAGGCGGCATCATTGTCGCCACCAAGAAGGTATCGCACTTGTCTGTCTGGGATTCCCTGCATCCTCATCCCGATTCTCCATCCGCGTCTGATATCTGAACCCCGGGGCACTTGGCCTCAGCCGATCCGGAAATATTTAATAGACAGCGAAAGGCTCTTGGCTTAAGCCAAAGGTTAGTTGCCCTTTTATGGCCATGGCGGCTTTAAATTTTCTCCTATTCTTTTTTGCACTCCTCTAAATCGCGAAATGTCCTTTGGATTTGCAGTGCCATTTACGACTCTGCAGCGTCAACAAATCTTTGCCGGCCACAAAATCCAAATGCCAATTAACTCATTAAGCTGCGACGTTGTCCGACTGCAAAACTTCGCTACCGAGATGGGAGCGCTTTTATGGCCAAATGGTATTTTATTGGCCCGGATAAGTCGCGTCTCATTAACAGGCCAAGTCGTTAAACAACACATTGTGCCCCGAAATGGCCAAACATTTGGCCAGGACACTTTTCTTTACCCGCCCTTGCCGATCAATGAACAACACTCCAACGGAATTAATAGTTCATAAAATAGGTTATTCCGCCGGAGGCACCAGCATTTATTAGGCTAATGGATATTGAAAGCATTGAGGTTTGGAAATTAGACCACGAAAACCAAAAACAGGCTTGATTTTCATTTCTCGATTATTTGGGGCAACTGAGGATTTAATGAACATACAAAAAATCCATCCGGTAAATTTACCATATAATAGATAAGTTGGACCAACCTATAGTTACTATTACACCAACGAAATACATTCACCCTATTATATTTACGGTATTTTTGCTATTACTTGAACTTAGCATCAACGAAAAATCCATCGGTTAATTTTAAAATTTAATAGTTAAATTGGACCAGTCCATGGATTTCTTGCAAGAACAAAATGCACACGTGTTCATATTTTTATGGTAGTTTTGCATTTATATAGTAGCTTGGGTTAGTTTGATATCTACTACGATTTTAGGTATCAGTGAACTACTTTCAATAGTTACATAACTATCTGTATGGGTAATTTCAATTAATTAAAAAGTATAGTAGGTACCTGTTTAGTATATTTACATTGATGTCAAGATGACCTAATTTTTTAAAGAGTTTAAATTTACGTTCCTTTTAGTAGTACACTATTTTCAAAGGTTTTTAATGACTATTCTTATAGTTAAATTTACCGATCAATTTTGTTGTGTGTACCTATTAACTTACATAACTTTTGAGATAGCCCAATTTATTGAATAAGGCTTAAGTGGCCCACTTGGACATTAGATATTCGATGATAATTCCGGGACCTGTCGTAACCCACACCGTTTTGAGTCGGTTACAAGTGGCACAAGGTCTGCTGGTCCTATGGTAACCAGTCGTTTGTTAACCAAGGGCACACTTAAGGTCCAGCCGTGCTGGGCAAAAACCAAATGGCTTAAGAAGCGGGACTAATGCAGGCGGCTTAAAGACAGCGCCGCTCTGGGCCATTGTGCACGTAATGGACCCAAGACGCCGGCGTTCCCCAAGGCAAATGAATTAATTGCAACAGGGCGTATACTTAATATCAATACATAAATAATAAATGGGCGAAGGCACACGCCTCCATTAGAAATGTATGGGTGGTGTAGGTTGGGATTGAGTTCGGGGTTCGAGGTTTTTCTGGGGTGTGCTGCCGACAAGTTATGGACGTGGACATGCAGTCCCCAACGCATAATGGCAGGCGCTTTATTGACTCGGACCTCGAGGCCGTGTTATTGAAAAGGATTCATGCTTCTCGAGTTTTCAGCAAACAGCTGCGAGACGTGGGCACAATCGACCTTCAGGGACCGAGGAGCTCCGGCCCTACTGATTATCGTTCCGTTGTTGCAGCTGCTAAGCGTTTCGTCCTGCCCCCGAATCCTGCCATCCCAACATCCCAACATCCTGCCTTTGATCTGGCGTCATTACGGGGGAAACAGGGACCTGGGCCATAATAAGTGAGCCAAAGGCACAAAGCGGCAAAGGCAGCTCCCCCATAAAGAACTTGACAAAAATCCCCTCGGAGGGAGTAGAGCCTCGGACCAGGACCACTAAATACAATGGACTTGGGGCTCTGGGCCCCCAAGAAATGCCAGCTGGGTGGTGCAACAGATGCTGACGCTTTTTGTGGATGAAATGGTGGTTGAGATGGCGATTCAGCTGGTTCTGGTGCAGCCCCCTAGTTATGCGGCATTAAAGTGTACTTGCACACTCTTTAATCTCTATAAAAATATACCGCTGAATCAAAATCCAGCATTAAGTTCAATTGAGTTGTGGCCACAACTCCAAATTTGATTTACACGCAACGAACGTAAACATTTTATTACAATCTCCCGTGTGCAGGCAATCAAATTACCATTTGATTTATAACTTACTTGCTGGCCAAGTTCTTTGGTCCTGTGACCACGTACGTAACTTTCCGGGGAAAACTTTTTTCACGTGGATCTGGACCTTCTGCATCCTGTACGGATGGCCCAATATTTTTTACAAGCCATTTGCGTAATATGTTATTACCTAAGCCATAAAGAAGGGACCCAAGAAGAACGGGCAGTTTTGGGTCTAATGGGGCGGAACAATTTAAAACTCTTATTTAGTGCTAGCAGCTAAGCCAAAAATGAGGGAGAATCCGGCCGAAAGACACACTTAGCCGGGCTTAAAATCATCTTTTGGGCACCCGTAAATTCATCGCCGGAAACCGCAGTCAAAAGAATGTTTAATACCATAGATTAAAATTTAATTGGCCCCTGAGAAAGACCATTCAAGTGCATTGGCTGCCGAGGCTCTACACCGCTTTCTCCATCACTCCTTTCTATCCCAAGCGGTCTACCATATTTTAATTAGTCTAATTAAAAGCTACGTTATAGCGAAAATGAAGAACAGAGCCGTGAACAGAACGCAGCAAAGCCAAATGTAATTATGTGGCCTTCTACGGGGGGTTTTCCAGATCCGTCTGGTAACAGTCGGAAAATAGCTCTGCGGCGCTGTGATATGGCAATTAGTCTGATTAGTCAGCTAAAAATATTACGGGCCGTCTGCGTAGGCCTGAAAGCGCCCGGGGGACCGGAATCATTAGAAAAACTGAGCGGCCCAAGTGGAATTACCAGATCATCAGCTTAGATTAACATGGAAATTTCGAATGCTTTGATGCGGAAGTGATGGCTGGGAATCAATGTTGGCCTAATTTAATATTAAATACAAATTGTGGAAATGTTTGAACACAGATGAATGCTTCTTAAGAATTTCTTTTAAAAGAAATTAATCTGTGATGACTTTATGTGGGAGGTTCTAAGTTATGATTGCAGTTAAAGAAAATTCTTAGAGATATAAGGTGTTTTAACAATTGCTTTTGGATGTTCTAAGGACATTTTAAGGAAAATCATTAGAAAAAATCTCACATTTTGAATTATTTAGTTTAATAATTTAAAATTGGATATATGTATATATTGATACTTACAATAATGCCTATTTTGACTATTCTTATTTTAAATAATAGACAGACTGGGCGTTATTTCACTGGGTATTATATTATGTACCATATTTATTCAACCTATACTTAATTTCCTGTGTAATCTTTTGCAAGAATAAGTATTTAGAAATGCATAAACATTATTTTAAATAATAAAATAAAGTGAAAAATCAATTAAATTAATAACCAAGGCTTAAAAAAGGTATATAATGTCCAGTGAAATAACGCCCATTTTGCTTAGACTTGTACATCTAAAACATAATACCATACTTTATAGAATTATAAAGAAAAAGAACGTGTTCTGTAGCATTTATCATTTAGGAATATGTTATTTCCCCTAGGTAGTACCCATTAGATTACCCATCTCCCCATCTCCTGGAGACCCCAACTCACCTTGCAGCTGTAGACGCCCTCGTCGATCCGACTCGCCTTGGTCACGCCCAGGATGGCGGTGTAGACATCTTTGGTTTCGGGCGGCAGGACCGTGGTCCAGATTTCCCTGAAAGGTGCAGATGAAAGCCTTAGTTAGTCATGCTAATTAGCACTCCACTTTCGGTTTCCGCGAGTACTTGAAACAGATTCGCACAGTCGGTGCCAGTCATGCATTAATTCTCACGCCCCGGGAAAATGGCAAATGCCATGTGCTGTATGCCATATGGCATCTGCTGTATTCCATGGAGAACTGAACTGAACCACCGAGCCAAGTGAACCGGATCATATGCAGCAAGCCCGCTAATTGACACACTAATAGCAGCCCACTTATCACGACCCCCTCTATTTTGCTATTTTCCTATAACCCATACACATAACCCATCGGATCCCGGGCGAAAGAAATCATAGCTAATGGGGAAACAATCGCGGATGCTGCGGTTCGAAGTCAATTAGCGGGAACATGTTTCATTTTCAAATGTTTTTCGAAATGCCCTGGCTGCGAATATGGTTAATAGTTTTTGGTTTCGTGGATAAATGGGTCGCTTCACGGCTGCCAGACTGTGTGTATGTATGAATTCTGGTTGGGATTTATGTGGCTCATTGGCTGACTGGAATCAATCATGGGGAGTTGGGCGCCTTCGCTTATCTGCGATAAGCCAGGCGAAATTTGATGACTGAAAATATATATAAATGAGCGAAAAATCGCAGTTTCCCGTCTGTGTGACAAACGATGTGAAATCTGGTAATTGCGAATTTAAATTCCCTACGTCGGCAGCCGGAGTAAAAGTTTGTGAAAATGCATGCTAAGCCTATTAGGCAGCCTTCTCCCGAGCGTTCCCCATATAATCCCCCGGAGATGTGCAAATCGCAGCACTAAGTAAAGCAAACCGAAAGCCGAAAACCAAAACCTACCAGCTGGCAACAACTTAAGTGCTGTTTGAGGTTTTCGTGGCCAACAAACATCTGCAGTTCGGCCCCCCCTTTTTCCTCCGCTTTTCCAGCTTTCCTTCCGCCAGGTGAGTGCATTTCACTAATAACTTTTACGCATGGATAGCGCTGATGTCGGGGGCCTCGAAAAAGTGCCCAAAAACCGCATCCCTAACCGCACTTTCCCACTCCCACTCCTCACTTCCAAGCTATTTACCAGCTGCAATGTCTAAAAATGCGTTTTCAATGGAGGGGAAATGGAACTGTATGTAGGTTGTACCTTGACTTTTGGGCTTTCGCATGCAAAGCACTTAACCTACAATTTACTAATGGCCCGGGGGCGGAAGAACTCCTTGGCCCCCCCACCTAAGACCCCCTGGGGGCAACCACCGAATACGCACCTTCAAAATCAATTAAATGGCAACGGAAGTAATAACATTCCCAACCGGAAGTGCGTAACGCTTAAATGCAGCGGCAAAATGGCCCTAAGCGCCACTAACTACCTCCTCGGCGATTCGCAAACAAGGACCGCAAAAACAGCAAAGCGTTTAGAGGACCTGTTTCCCGCTTACTGTAAATGGGACCAGGCAGGATTGACATCGGCTTTGGCCCAATGACGTCCTGGTAGGTCCTGGCTGGTCCTGGTTTCGCCTGGTTGTCCAGGAAGCTGGCTAAGCCGCAGCAGCTCCACTAATGCCGCTGCATTCCCCCTCGATGATGCAACTGCATCTGCAGCGCAGGACCCAGGATTACAAAAAGAGGACCTCAGCGATGCGTTCGTGATGTCCAAAAGGAGCTAGAGTCCTGTTTTTATTGGTAGCCATCTAATATCGGCTCGAAACAGCTGAACATTATTCGTTTTGGGTCGTTGGTGGCTGGAGCCCATTCGATTCGCTTCATGGTGTGTGCTCAATTCGATGCCCTCGAAGAAAGGGGTATATGAAAGCCTTCAAGAAGGTCCTAGCTAAAGGAAGCTCATCCGAGTCCTTAAGGCATGTATTTATCAGGATCTGGGAAGGATTATCTGTGAAATGTCTTTTAAGCTGTCTGTCAAATAGTCTCAAAGTTTTAAAGTCTTTTAAAGACATTTATTTTTATGACGGGCAGCTGGAATTCGTTTGAAAGAGAAAATCTATACAAAGTCGAAAAATAATTATTGCCTGTCATAAGATTTTAGGAGTAAGAACTTTATGTATTTAAAAAAACTATAAGGAATATATAGACCAATCAATTTATCCAATGTAACCAGTTGGTTGAAATTTAAAGACTGTCCATACATATTTTTTTATCACTGAGGACAGAAGTTCACGTAGTGACGAATCGCAACGTGCCTCCTCCACTTCTATTTATATCCGCAAGCTCGAAATAAGTGAAACTGCGATTATTATTATAGGAAAAAGGTGGTAGTTGTTTAACTGAATGTTGGAATCATTTTAAGTCAAAAAGTATAACATATGAAGATATCGTGGAGATCGTTACGAATTTTTTGCCTCGTTAGGAGGTGATTTTATTTAAAAAATCCTTATTTGACAGTGAGGAAAAGCTTCCAAAAATATCCATTGTGCATACCAATCAATATAACCTCCACGTTGGATTTCTTAAGCATTTCTGCTAGGGTATTTAGGTTTTCGGTCCCCAAAGAACGTACTCCTTTCTTGTTAATGATGCATTTTCCCAATGCAATTTGCCTCACGTAACCATCTCCGGCAACTGCATTTGGCCCCGTGGCAGAAACATCTCGTTCCGTTGCCGGCTGCGGTTGCAAAATGCATTTGCCAGTCCGCAATCATCGCTGAAATCCCCGTCCCATGCCGATCCTATCCCCATCCCCATCGACATCCCATCCACATCCACATCCTCTTCCCGGAATTGCGAGCGCTACAAATGGCCCGCAAAATGCCTTTGCGTAGGCGTGCGTGTTGTGTGCGTGTCCTGTAAATACAACTGCAGCCCACAGGACGCAGGATTCTGGATGCAGGACATGAGTTCATGACGGGGGAATCCCAATCTGCGCTTCATTTGAGCTGCTCTGCTGGTCAAACAACTCATAACAACTCATTGGCTGTAAAGTTCAATGGAACAATTACCTCGGCACTGGCGGAGGAGTCTTACGATGTCAGCAAACTCCGCTGGACACGCTCCAAAATCACGGCATTGATAACCAGTGATGACCATTTGCCACTTAACTGTTTTCGTGATCCTTTGTTCTTAAGCGAAGTTTTCACAAAGGATAGAAAAGGACATAACAAGCTCAATTTTAAGATACAAATATCAGTCCTAACAATACATATACGTAATGTTTATGATAAAGTATTAAGTATATCGATTTGTGGCTATAATAAATGATACTTTATACCATCTTTAGAATAGCTTTTTTAGGTTTTGAAAGAATTCCTTTGGAATGCAGTAATTTAAGAAGTATGTAAATATTATAGAACTTGTTAAGCTTCTATGTACTTTTGGGAAATCTTTACCCTAATCATGTTCTCTGTACTTTCTTTATAAATTGGAGGTGCTTAACGCATTTATATAAAACTCATGCCATTAGCACAACACAATTTAAAAATGTTTTAAGAGAGCTATTACTTTAATACTTTAATCCTTATGTATATAAGGGGATATGTGTACACCGAAAACAATAGTCTTAGAAAAGCTACATTATTGTTACATTAATTTTACACTATTGGGTATCGATTTAAAGTCGTTAAAATAAGTATTAAATTAATGCTTTACAAAGTAATTAATTACAAATTAATTGGCTTGAAAATAAAACTACATATCCCAATTCTAGAGTCTTTAATATAGAAATGAATCTCTTAAGTACCTATAGACCTTATATTATTCAGTCTTTAATCCCTCTTTTAATTGCAATACTGCCTCTGGTATACTTTTAATTCAAGCGGTATTAAATCTTAACTTTCCGTTTTTTTTGCTTGGTTGTAGCATATAATGGGAGTTTTAAGAGGCTTTTCAGTTTTTTGCAAAAATCCGTTGGCATCACTGCCTTAACTATGGGCAATTAAGAACCTCGTCCGGAAAAGCGCTGTTGGATTGCCTCCCTTTTTTCTCCCCCTGGAGACCAACAACTTTTCGGTTCCCAAAGCTTCTGATGTCACATCAATTTGCGTAATTAGGTGACTACGGCCCTCACACATTTTGCGGCTCACTCATAAGTTTGCTACTCCCCGGGGGATTTTTGATTACCAGGCGATTGAAAAGTTGGCAGAAAAACATTCAATTGGCCCCACAACCGATTGAAGGCCATAAAAAATTAGTTGTGAGCGGCATACCGCTTACGGATATTTCTACTGAGTTGTGGCCAGCGGATCATAAAACATAAAAAAACAATGGGAATGGGAATGGCCCCAGGCCATGTTCGATGTTTTTTCTACGCCCTGAAAAGCGGAAGAGGTGCATATGGACTTTTTATGGGTCCGTTCATGAGCCTACGGCCCAGTTCTTCAGACACAAACAAACAAACGCAATCTCAAATTCATATGGTTGATTTCTTTTCTTTTTTTTTGTATATATATATGGGTATGTATTAAGTACGATTCCATCGGAGTGTTTTATGAGTTCATAAAATTGGTGTGTAGGTGTTTATTATCGTTGTGTTATTTTGGTTTGTCCCCTGCCCTCGAAAAAGCAGGGGAAATTGAAATTGTGAAGTTACTTTTCTGCTGAATATTTTATAGCCCTCCTCGTAAATATGAATATCCATCCAACAGTCAGTCGTCTGTCGAATATCTTAAAGCTGCAGCCTGGAGGCTTTATTCCCGCAACCGTAACTTGATTAGAAATAAGGCAGTCCCTGCGGGAAACCAACATTCGAGGGTCATATAAAAACTTTATTAAACGCAACTACGCATAAAAACAAAACGATGACAAAGTACGCGACCTCGTTGTTTCGCCTGTCCCATCGTTTGGTGGCAATTTTTTCAGCTTTTTCAGCTTTCCCGCTTTTCCAGCTTTTCCGGCCTGCAACAATTCACTTCAAGATGTGGCAAATTTCATTACAATCGTAACAAGAAAACGTGTCTCAACGGCTAAATTGCAAGGGACGAAAACCAAATCAAAAACGGAGCCCAAGACCACGATTTCGGGAAAGGCCTCGAAGGCCTGATTGGGCTCTTATATAGT